AGCAAATGGGGCATGTACTTCTTATTTTTTAGAATAAGTTGAAATGTTTGATTTTGGCCCTGCCATGATGTTACTTGAGCTTTTTTAGAAAAAAACCTAAGACGTTTGTAGGCAGCATAAAAATATTCTATAATATAATCACCAATCACTTTCTAGAGCTCTTAAACATATTTACTCTTCACACACACACTATTCGCCCTATCTGAGGCTGGGCAGCCTAGAGAGCTAGTGGAGGCTGGCCGTACCACAAGTCAAACTCAAAGCTCACGACAAAAATAGTTTGTTTTCTGTCTTCATGGTAAACCCTTCATTAAAAGACAATTGTACGTTTTGAATTATAGCTCCTTGGGGGCCCTGTTAAATGTTGCCAACATAACAATCTGATCGTTATGCCCAACCAATGCTGCAGGGCATAGCTTCTGAGCAATAGTTATGCTAAGCCATGGATGAGAGAAGCTACACAATTTTGCATATGTTTTGGGCTCATAACCCTTTAGCTACTTGAGGAACAATACAATGCTAGTTCCGCTGTTTGTCTGTAGTTGCACCCCCGTCCCCTCTTCAATCCCCCTGCGCGGAGTCGGGCACTGTCATTGTGCGTAACAATTAAATCGTGTAGCTTCTACTTTTTGCCTGCGCTGTGCACCACACACACTTCCACACACACACACACACACACACACACACACACACACACACACACACACACACACACACACACACACAATTTGCAAATGATCGTCGGAGTAGGCATTGGGCAGGCGGGCGGCAGCCATTTAGCTGGATGCCCCATTGCGTGGCCATGCACCTAACTTCATCACGATCCGCGACATGAAAATAGTTGCACTCCGCACTGGCAAACACAGACGGCCAGAGCGCCGGCACAGACCACAGAGTGGGAAGCGTCACATCACGAAGTCGACGCCGACGCCGATGCCGAGGCCGACGCCAACGCCACCGCCACCGCGGCCGCAACCGCCACCAGGTTAAGCTAGCTGCCGATGCAGTGAGTCGACCGTTGTCCATGCGGACTGCAGAGTCGCTTTGCATATTTAGCAACACATTCCCGATGGTCGTAACGAAAAACGGTTTCATTGTTGCCGACGCCGCCGACAACAACATAAAAGCCTGCGCTCCTTTAGCTGGCCAGGCCAACAAGCAACCAGCAACCAGCAACAAACACAAACACACACACACACACACACACACACCCATGCAAACAGTTAATAACAAGTTAGAATGCACTAGTCGAGAGCTAACAACTAGAAGATACCCTGTGCACTTGGATAACATTGAATAGTAGTGCTGCTGACAAGCAATAGATGGCGCTATCGACGGATAAATACGATATTAATATCTGAATATGCAAATACCCAAAGTACCAACTACTTGTGCTTATAGAAAGTAGCTTTAGTCGTTAAAAGTCGGGAATAGAGCGTAGGGCTGCAAGTGTTCGGTGACTCGGTTTAAGACTTAAACCTCCTTGTTTGAGGTTCGGTTTGTAAACCTATTTTTCACATCCATGTGGCAAGTTTTTTTGTTCAAATATTGAGTTTTCCTATATTCATTGAAAACTTTAATAAATTAATAATAAACAAAATAATAATAATAATTGGAACATTATACTAATAGACATCTACTAAAAATAGTGAGATGCAGGCTGAGCACGATTATTTTTTTTTAAGCAAACAATTTTTGCGAAAAAAATTCAAATCGTTTCGGTTTACGTATCCACATGACTCCACAGGATCTACTTGCTAGTTGAAGCTGTTTAGAAGTGCTACTTATAATGTTTATCTTCAAAGACTTTTCGATGCTTCTCCTTATTGGCTGTACGCACAACTTTGGGATAAGCACTTTTCTTTTAACAAAAAATGTTAATGGCTACAGGGTATAACAATCGGCACACACACCGAGAGTGCAGAGCCCAAACCAGACCAGAGACCAGACCCGGCCGAGACCAACCGACAAGAAAATAAGTTGAATAAAATTATTGTGAACACGTCTCGTTGATTTATTGTGAAATCGCGCATGAGTAATGATCGAATATTTGGGTATACTTGTTGCTTGTTGGTGGTGCTGCTGCCGCTGCTGCCGCTGCCGCTGCTGCTGCTGCTGTTGGAGAGAAGGTCGATCGATTGGTCGGTCCTCGCCAGAGCTGGGTCCACCACCACAGATTGGGTACAGTTTTTGGTTATTGCTCATTTTCGTATCGATCGCAGCGCTCGGTGTTTACATTTGCCGGCCTCCTATTGTTGCTCTAAATGGCAGCGAATGAGTCGAAACTTTTTCTCCTCTTGTCTGTTGCTGTTCTTCGGTATTATAATCCAAAAACAGCACCGACACACAGCTCAGCGCAGCGCAGCGCAGGAGGCAGCCGCAGACAGTCGACCAAAGAGGCTGCCTGGCATAATAATAAAACATGATGATGGGCCACTTGCTGGTTCTGGCTCGGCTCGGCTTTGCTTTTGGGCTCGCTGGTTATCTAATCGGCTTTTTATAATTGGGAACCAACGAGGCGCAGATTCAGCGCGATCATTGTGTAACAATTAAGGTAAAGAATCCAACACTAGACAACAACACAAACAACAACGACAGCAACAACAAACACACGCAATAAACATAAGTAGCCAGTATGTTTAGCCTCTCCAGAGAGCAAAAGGAGGAAGCAATCAGATAAGTAAAAATAATGAATTTGCAAAAACTCAAATTAATATGCTTTAACAGGTTTCATTTAAATTCTATTCATACATACTTATATATTTTCAATTTTAATTCTATTCTCTACAGAAAAATCATTACTGCGAGTTGGTCTGAGCCCAAGTTGAACAGAGAACATTTATAAGGGAAAAATTTCTACTGATATGCAATTTCTTTCAAATGCTTATACCGTTAAGCTAACCAGACTCTGTTGAGGGCTGTTTTCATCCATAACCTTGCATTCAGAAATCGGAAACTAATAAAGTTCTTGTCGCAGCCACAAAACAATACACCAAGTATTCTGCAAATCGTTCAAGGATTTCCTGGATAAAGGTAAAAATAATGCTGCTGCGGAACTAATTGATTTACCTGAACATTTTCTGGGAAAATCGCAAAGTTGTGTGTTTCGAAAAATGGGATTGGCCGCAGAGCTGACCACGACATTTCGAATGTTACGCTTAATTATTTTCTTATATCTTTCAAATATATTCACAATATATTTGAAATTTAAAAAAAAAAAAAAACTGAGAATACTAGATATAAATTTTAAAAATAAACTAAAAATTCTTTTAAAAGAAGGCAAAAAAGTCGAAATGATTTTTAAACACTTTTCAGGTTTTCTGAAAGTAATATATGAGTGTATGCAGCTCCTCTCATTTTTCATTCTCTACACAGGTACAAGAATAAGAAGAAGAAGCAGCAAAAGCAGTCTTCTCATCGTCTTTGTGGCACAGTGATAACGATGAGAGCTGTTGAGGGCTGAAATGGTAAAAGTATCTTACAGTACGCAGTTGTAGGCTTCGAAAATTGATGATCGCGTGCCAAATGTGCATGTTTATAAACATATTTCTCTCGTACTTGGTCGCCGCCTCTCGCTCTGCCGCCGTCTGAGCTTGTCTCTGTCTCTCTCAAGAGATAGACTGAGTGTGTATGGCATGTCTGTCCATTGGGATGATCTTGCATTTGATCAGTCGCTTTGTTGATTGCTTGAAACTTGTGTCCATGCAATAAAACACTCAAAATGCCAACTTTATTTTGGGTCAAAGCCGGCCAGACACGCAACGTTGCCTGCCTGGGACTCTAAAAATACTGCGCAGACTCTTCGATAAACTTTTAGCTGCCCCGCGTCGACGGATCAACTGCGGGCCTCAAATGCTGTGAGCCAATTTTGCGTTGCGTTTTGACCTTTTTTGAAGCGAATCAAGAGGCATTCATATATATATACATATATTGTTTGTCTCTCTTTCATAAAACTCTAGAAACCTGTAGAAAATGGGTTATAGGTATAAAAATACCAATGCCCCGAACCGGGGGCGACTACCAACTGTGCATTTGGCGGAACTTTGCGCCACATGCGTCGCATATCTTTGACACAATCCGTGGCGCCCACCCGTTGTGCTCTCGAGGGCAACCTTTTCACTCGCTCCCCAACCGCCCTCCTTCCCCCGCCTAGCTCGCTTGACCATACTCAAACAAACCCGCGACCGTTGCTCAAATTAAATTAATTCATAATGAAGATAATTATTAGAGCCAACTCTTGTCCGGCAGTGTCAATGGACTAAAAGTCAAAAACTCCATTCCAGAGTTCTGCCGAATCCACAAAACTAAACAAGCCGAATCGCTTCAGCTCTTTACAAGGGCGTTACTCAGGTTGTTAGAGACCAGAAACCCGCCCGTTGTCGTTTCTGTCCGTTTCTGTCCGTTTCTGCCTTAGCCGTAGCTGTCCGACTGGATTAATGGCCGCGCTGACAGTGAAAATCCTGCGGTTATAAGTTTTATAGCCCTTCGTCCCCACTTTGAAATGGTTGCAGCAGCAATTAGAGTGTGCTGCTCGATGTAAGGGTTTACAGCATTACACATTCGTCTGTTTGCCATCATAAAAGATTTTCCTAAGAATTTCAACAGGCCTCTGAACTCGAGGGGTTACAACCGCTCGTAAGTGCCGCGGTTCATTAGTTTCAACCGATGTGCGTGGGCCGAAGCCTTTGGATATTTGTGTGGAAGAGCTCAGGGATAAGCTGTTAGCTAAAGATCAAAACTTGAGGCTACTGAGCAGCATCATCGTTGGATTGTCTAGAGGTTGACCAGTCCTAATTACAGGTGAGAAGAAAGTGCGACCCCTGCCGAGACTCCTTTTACCAAGAAGTGATTTATCCTAAATTTAGTGCTAAAATCAACAAACAGTTTACGTCAGGATAAATAAGTAAGTTAAGCAAATATATATACTAGAAGGTAGCCCCTGCCTAGGCCTGAATTATTTAAACATAAATTCTTAATTATATATGTAAATATGTACTTACCTTAAATATTCACAAAGACATATATATTAGACGGTGGGAGTCGGATCCTTACATGTACGTTTTACTAAAAATAAAAGAGGGGAGCGCATATTAGAGTAAGAACTAAAGATGAATAAAATGGATGTAAACGAGGGAGAGAGAGAGAGATATACTAGGGGGGTTTTAAGTTTTAGGCTAGTATGATTAGGAATATAACTTCTTCAATATAATATATGTAAGTGAAGTTTGATACTGAACTTGAACCTTCGAACCTTGAACCTTTATATAGGGAGATATATTTAGCCTAGCGAAACTAGGTATTCTACTGAAGGCAAATTATGGAATTCTATTGTGTCAATTAAGAATACATTTGCTGTGGAAGCGCCGCGCACCATTCATTCACTTTCCACAGCAACTTTCGGAGCTATGAGAAATTCGATCACTTCCTCTCCTTGTTGATAATGGAACTGATATTTCAACACAGCAAGCTCGCTGTCGTTGAACTCAGACGCTGCTGAAATCAACGTTGGGTTTCCTAGAATGCCCACCAGAGACGCCAACACAAGCAACACTCGGAGACACGGAGACTTACATAGACAAGCCACCAGCACATGCTTGGGTATGGGAAGCCACAATAATTTTCAGTTCAAATATGATTAATTTTTGGGTTTTGCTGCAGACGTAGTGCCTGTCTTAAAGTCATGCCTTTTGCAATTGGCTTGCAACACGTGTTTGCCTTACTTCCTCGCACTCTCTCTCTCTCTCTCTTGCTCTCTTGATCTCTTTGTCGCTGCTCATGTTCTCTACATGTTCTGGCATTCTCTAAATCGCAGCTTTCACTCATGCGTGGAACGGTTTTGGGTCGCGACTAGGGGAAATGGGCATGCGCAAACGCAAATGTTGCATGGCCAAGTTAGGAGCTGGAGACTGAACAGCAAACAGGGAATAGCAAACAACCAACAACAACGAGCAACAGCAGCAGCAGCAACAACAACTACATGACATAGTGCCTGTCGTCTCATTAGGATTAGACCCACGTTATTTAATTGCATGTTAGGGATTCCAGCTTATTTATAATGAGTTAGTTAAATACACACGCACTGGAACTGCGACTGGAAACTGGCATTGGGCAGAGGCTGCGGCAGAAACTGGGGACTGGGGACTGGAACCTTCACTACGCCGGTTGCAGGCGTTGCCGCTGTCCGCTGTCCGCTGCCAGGGTGCAAATGATTAATGATCAGAGCGCGCGTTAGGCGGGTTCACTTAAGTTTCCATCTCTTTCCATCTCTCTCTGTCTCTCCCTCTCGCTTTTTATCTTGTTGTATAGGAGTTTAGGTATCTCTGTGTTGGTTTTTCGTGAATTTATTTACAAATAAAATTATAGCTTCGCCTTGGCGTAGCCAACTGGCCGTGCAGCAACAGCAGCAAGTACAACAACAACTACAACAACAACACCAACAGCAACAGCAACAACAACAACTACAACAACAATTTTGCTGGCCATTTAAACACCCCATAAACAATTTGCCATAATTTCGAGCAGCGTCAACGTCAACGACGACGTCGTCGTCGTCGGCGCTCCCTCATTACAAAATGACGGCAAATTGCAATTTTCGTTGAACGTTGAGTGGAACCCGCATGCCAGTAGCAGTCAGCAGTCAGCAGTAGCAGTAGCAGTCGGCAGTAGCAGTAGATCCCAGCTCCAGTCCTCAGATCAGGCCCAGTTGCCCACGAAACGACGCTGTGACAATCAACGCGCACGTCCCGCCAGATGATGTGATGTGATCTGATGTGATGAGTGCGTCTATCATATCGTCAATGTGCGTCGTCGTCGTCATCGTCGTCGTCGTCGTCAATGTCAGCGACAACATCATCATGCAGTCGCTGCAAGCTGCCTTGATCTTGATCAGCCAAGATGCAGCAACTTGGGCTGCGGCAGAGGCTCATCATCGTCGTCATCGAAATTGTCATGTCACGAAAGTTGGCTCCCAGCTGCTAAAAACTGCTATATCTAAAGCTGCTTCTGCTGCGGCTGCTGCTGCGGTTACCAACGGCGGCGGCGGCGTCTCCTCTTGTGGCATTTGCGGCAGCCCTTTGCCAGTGGGGGCATCATAACTTTGTCATTAAGTGTGTGCCATGCACAGCAATTAGGCATTTTATTAACAGATATGCTCTTCAACTTGAGAGCGTATCAAAACCAACACACAATTCACATGAATAGTTAAATTAACATTAGCGACAATTGTACAAATTATTTGACACATTACACTGAGAGAAACGAGTCCAGCTTCCACTGACTAATTGCCGAACATGCCTGTCAACGAGCAGTAATTGCCAAGTTTTGCATTTAACTTGTCTGTTTCAAATCAAAAATTGGGACAGATTAATTAAAAATGAATGGATTAAACTTTAAACCAAGCTAGCTCGAGTTCAATACTGCTAATTATCGCATATTTATAAAATTATGATGAAATACAATCAACGAGGCTTAAGCAGCAAAAATTAAGCAGCTTGTCTGTATTGAAATCTTTTAAGAACTTCGCAGATCTGTCATGAGCAGATCTTCTGTGCTCCAACTTATTGAGAATTACAAAAGTCAAGTAAAAAGAGGCAATACTGATCTAGAGTTTGCCAGTTTAACACAAGAATTTATACTTAAGCTCTTTGAATATTGTATAATTTCAACATAATTCATGAAACCAAACTTTAAACGTCTAAAATATGTTCTTTCTTCAAAATACGAATATTTGTCTGTGTTTAGATATATAAATCTATATTTCTTTAACAATTGCTAGGATTAAATAATATATATATATATATGAAAATCTTTAAGCTTATCTTGGGGACAAATTCAAAGTTCTTTTGCCTTTTTCTAGGCAAAAAGGCTTTAAAGCACATTAAGGTAATATAAGTGTACCAAGAACTATGGATTTTTGTAAAAGTAAATAATAAAACCGTTTTATAGTTTTTAAATATTTTTCAATTTAACGAGCTTACTTTTAATTAAAGGTGATATAAAATTATTATTTAACTGTCAATTGTTTTTTACAAGCATCTTGTGGACAGTGCATTGGCTATTCGACGAATTGTTATGTGTTTGTCTTGCTTTTAGTAATTGTTGCGGCAACTGTTGATATTGCTGCTGCTGGTCTTGAGATTTTGTGGCTTAAATGCCTTTTAAATGCAGCTCCCCACGGGAATATGCCGCCGCCAGTCTGACTACCTGTTGTTGTTGCTGCTGTTGATGCTGTTGATGCTGTTGTTGTTGCTACTGCTGTTGACATTGTGATCAACGATAGCGGCCTGACAACTGATGGCAATCACTTGTCGCGCTTCAGATCATCCGCCTGTTGCCTCTGCCTGCCGCCTGCCGCTTGCCGCTTGCCGCCTGCTGCATGCCGCCAGTTGAATGTTGAATGTTTGATATTGAATGTTGAATGTTGCCCATGGCTTGACACAGATTTGTTGGCCAAAGTTGGCGACAACGTCGTCGCCTTTTTAGGCCCAGGCGTCTAAGTTGCAGGCAACTTGTTGCCTGTTCGCCTGGCTGCCCCTTTTTGTCGCCAATTGACAATTGACGCAACATCAAAACTGTCTAATTAAAAACATTGCCCGCAATGCGTAACTGAAATCGATGAGAAGCGGCGAACGCCGACAAAGCATTTGACTTTATGACATTTGAAATGGCCCAAGGAGAGAGCGGTAGAGAAAGAGAGAGAGAAATAGACATGAAGAGGGGGTGGGATAGGGAGAGACTGTGCACAAGCATGGCAAAATGAAAGAGACATGCGGCTATTTATTTTGTAATTTTTCTCAACATTTTTCTCCGTGTTCTGTGTGCGTTGTGTGCTGGCTAAATTATGGACTCTCGCAGTCAGGCCAAAAAAAAAAAAAAAAAAAACAAAAAACAACAATGATTCGTATAAATTGGAAACATTAAAAAAGCAATCAAAAATGTTCGGGCCAAGGCAACAACAACAACAACAACACAACCACAACACAACACAAAAGAGCTGCGGTTCTCCGGCCTGGTCCGGTCCCGGGTCAGTTTAACCTGCGCTGGCGTGTTAACCTGCTGCTGTCTCTCCACGCAACAGTTGGAAATTTTAGATACGACTCGCTGAGATGCTCATGCAGCTTCACACGATTGTCGCGCGGAGATGGGGATGGTGCGGGGGCAGCTTAGGGTACTCGATTGAACGGCAATCGAGATCGAGGTTCGTGGTTCAAGTCGCAAGATCTCGAGTGTATGGGGGCAACTATGCTGCAACCCAGGCTTAGGCTGAGCTGTGGCGCGTTGACTGACTGATATGAGGCAACAAAAACAATAAAACAACAACAACAACAAGAACAACAATAGCAGCAACAACAACCCGTCGATTGTTAATCAGTTAGATATAAAACAAAATACAGCACAAGAATCAAACTCGCATCTCTGCGCGTATCTACGACATGTTAATGATGTTTCTTATTTTTTTCTTTTATTATCTTTTTTGGGTGTTAGATAAAAAAAAAGTGAAAAAAAAGAAGAGCCAAACAAAAAGAATGTTTCAGAAAACGTTTGGCCCACGTTTCCTAGAAGCCAGCTCTGCGCGCTCTATTGATGTTATTTATGTGAAATGTCTGTGAAATTATTACCCTTTTTTTCTCTGCTTCTTTGAGGCTAGAAATTTATTTGATTCGACTCTGTTTTACTCGCTTTTAATTAGCAGTCGAAACAGAAAATAATTCAGAGCGAGAGAGAGAAAGCGAGAGTGGGCAAAGTGCGTGAGAAAGTGAGATAGCAAGCGTTGATCGTGCGCTATAAGAACAAACATGGTAATTTAATCTGTGATTCGTTATTTCGATTTCGATCGCGATTCACTTTGAGCACTCATCAAGTAGTGTCTATGAGACTTTAAAATGTGATTTCGTCTCTTGATCGTTTCGGCATTTTTATGCCCTTGTAGAGGGTGACATAGTTTTTTGGGGAAATGTGTAACGCATAGAAGAAGGCATCTTCGATTCGTCAATGAGTATGAAACATATTATCGATCAGCCTCAACAACTATGCAACTCAACTATTTCTATGCAAGCCAGTCTCTC